TCCTAACGAAGAGATTTCCATTTTATATCATGTACAACAATCTTTTCGCTCCTCGGAAACCCCTTTGAACCCCTTTATACACATCGTTTTATTTCAAACTTAAATTATCCCCCACTGTTCACACGTACTAAATCACTACTTTCAACGTTGGTCCTCCTCTCATATTTCATTCCTTGGGATGGGGTGGTTTGCAGTTAAGATGGTCATTTTACCAAAATTGTTATTTTTTTAGAGTGCTATCGGTTATGGTTTCTAAATCCATATTGTATTCTCTGCAAAAAGAGATTAACAAGTTAATTTGGGCAGACAAAAGACCTATATTTTGTAGACTTCTTATTCATAGATCACAACGTAAAGGTGGCTTGGGTCTTCCCAATATTTGGTTGTATTATCTATCAGCATGATTTACACAATTGGCTCAATGGTTTGCAACCCACTCGTCATATAGCATGGCTCCCCTTTGAATCCAGCTCAGTTTTTCTTTTTCATCTCCAGGGTTTGCTCTGGTCTAAGTCGATTTTACCCCGAGAGATTTATCCATTGAACACAATAGTGGCCATCTCCTTCCATCTATGGCATCAACATAAAAACAGATTTAATTTGTTCTCACCCATACCCCCCTTAGCCTCATTTTTTGGTTGAGCCTAGATTCCAGCTTTTTGGGTTAGAAACTCTTTTTTCTCATGGAAAAAACATAAACTTACGAATTTAAAATCTCTTAGTAAAAATGGTGAATTTAGATCATTTGATTCCCTACAGTCAGAGTATAATCTACCCATATCAGATAATGTGGCTTATATACAAATCAGAGATTTGTTCTCCAATCATTACTCCTTAAATCTGCCTAAACCGGTTTACATTTTTTGAACAAATTTGTATTTCTTCCCCAAGAGACTAAAGGGATTATTTTCCGTATTTATGGATGTCTGAATGAATCCTCTGCTTCTGACAAGTCAGGTCCCATGACACATTGGAATCCGATTTGGATTGCTCTTTTTCCACAAAAGAGTGGGACTCTATGATTGACAACTTTAGCAAATGTACGTGTCCTGTGTCGGTCAGGGAGACCGCCCTTAAAATTCATACTAGATGGTACATGACCCCCTCAAGAATACATATGTTTTTATCCATCGGTTTCCCCGTGTTGTTTTAGGAGTTCCAAGAACAGGGCACACTGATGCATATATTTTGAGATTGCGAGCTCCTGCGTCAATTGTGGCAACGCGCCTCATCCATGGTGACCAAGATAGCAGGCAAACCACTTACTTTGACTCCACAAACATGTCTACTGTTTACCCCAATTCCAGATCTACCTACTCCCCAGGTCAGATTGATACATTCACTTTGCTATGCAATACAATGGATGATGGCCTATAATTGGCGCTCCTCTTCAGTCCCTTGGCCGCAGGTGCATTGCAAAGAATGGATCTCATCAAGTTGTCTGAATATATTCACCCTATGCTATTTGACAACATGCATGTATATAAGGAGAAATGGAAAAGTTGGGATACATCATGACTTGTAATTGTTTTCTATATCATAATTATAGTATTTTTCTGTGAATCACTTTCTTTCACTTGCAATCCCTCTACTATGACTGTCATTTGTATTATAATGGCTAATTTGTTTAATTGTCATGTCATTGATGCTTTCTCTGGCCTTAATTGGATATGCTATGATATTCACGAGTAGCCGTCTCACCTCAACCCCTTTGGTTATTGATGAGTTTAGGAAATTTCACAGCTCTATCCCTATACAGATGCTTCATGACAAACTCCAATTTTTCTAACTATGCTTACCTGATTGTAATTGAACTCAATCTTCCCAATAAAAAAAATAGTTTGTAAACAAAAAAAAATAAAGTAAAGGGGTTGGTAACTACATGGCAAAGGAGGTCTCATGTAAGACAATGTAACGTAATGTACTTGGGGAATAAAAATATGAATGCAAGCTACACGCTAGGGGATGAACCTCTGGGGGAATCGAGGATGGAGAAGGTTCTGGAGGTCCTAGTGGATCACAGACTCAGCAATAGCATGCATACTAAGCCGCAGCAAGCAAGGCCACAGAATATCAGCATGAATTCAAAAGGGAATTTACTCCAGAGATAAAACGATAATTCTTCTCCCACTTTACAAAATGCTGGTTTGGACACATCTGGAGTATGGCGTCCAGTTCTGGTCACCAGTCCTCAGGTTGGATGTGCTGGAACTGGAGTGAGTCCAGAGAAGGGTAACAAAGCTAATAAAAGGGCTGGAAGACCTCAGTTATGAGGAATGACTACAAACATCAAACATATTCTCCTCGACGAGACGCTTCAGAGGAGATATGATAATGATGTAGAAATATATTTGTAACATAAATGTGAGAGTCGGGTAGTTCTGCCAGTAGCTGAGATGTGATGTGATCTGTAGAAGGATGTGATTGTAGATCTAGTTTAATTCGTGTTATTAGAGATACAGTATTCAGTAATCAGTCAGAGACATATGGTCACCAATTAGCATCTGAAAGGGACAGAGCAGCTTCTAAGCCAGGAGTAACACCGAGATGACAATACAACTCTCATCCATGTAGACATGGATTTCTCACTTTCTTGAACCTAAAAGAAGAGCTCTAGCCATTTTGGCTATAAGAAAAAGGCAGAAAGACAGGGAGAAGGCTCCAGAATGTCTACCAGCTTTGAATTATACCCACAGATCAGAGGAATCTATTTAAACTTTCACAAAAGCTAAAATTTTAGTTGCAGAGAGATGAAAATAATTCCTCCTGATTGGACACATTCTAAGCTAAATGTCCATGACACCAAGCTGTGCCGTGGAATAACGTCCTTACAGGATGTCTTCAATTTACAAGCGACCTCAATGCTCTGTGTAATTGGGGGACTATTAAGCCAATAAGGTTTAACCATTTCAATACAGGGCACTTTTACCCCTTCCCCCCAGGCCAGTTTTCAGGTTTCAGCGCTCTCACACTTGAATGACAAATTGTGCGGTCATACCACATTGTTACCCAAACTAAAATTTTATCATTTTCTTCACACAACTACAGCTTTCTTTTGGTGGTATTTAATCACCGCTGGGGTTTTTATTTTTTGCTAAATTAACAAAAAAAGACAGAAAATTTTTGAAAAAAAAAAACACTTTTTTCTTTGTTTCTGTTATTAAAAGTTTGCAAAATAAATAATTGTTCTTCATAAATTTAGGCCGAGATGTATTTCTGCTACATGTCTTTGGTGAAAATAACCCAAATTAGGATGTATTATTTAGTTTGTAGGAAAGTTATAGAGATCACAAACTATGGTATAGATCTGATTATTGATCAATCCTGAAGTACTGACAGCCAATCTAATTTCTTGAGGTCCAAGAATGTCAGAATAGTACAGATATCCCCAAATGTCAGAATGTCAGATATCCCCCAAATGTCAGGACGGTACAGATATACCCCAAATGTCACGACCCCAAAAACGGTGTACAGTCCCCCAAATGTAAGGACGGTATAGATATCCCCAAATGTAGGGACAGTACAGATATCCCCCAAATGTCAGGACAGTATATCACCAAATGTCAGATACAGATATTCCCCAAATAAGTCAGTACAGATATCCCCAAATGTAGGACAGATATCCCCCAAATGTCAGCACAGTACAGATATCCCCCAATGTACAGATATCCCCCAAATGTCAGAACAGTACAGATATCCCCCAAATGTCAGGACGGTATTAGATATCCCCCAAATGTCAGGACAGATTCCCCAAACAGACCTGTATCCCCCAAATGTCAGGACAGTACAGATATCCCCCCAAAATACAGATATCCCCCCAAATGTCACAGTACAGATATCCCCAAATGTACAGGAAAAGTACAGATATCCCCCAAATGTCCAACAGTACAGCATATCATGGTCAGAACGGTACAGATATCCCCAAATGACCACTTTTTGAGACAGTAGACAGTCCAAACGTACTTCATAAAAGATGGGGGAGTTTTTGATATATTTTTTTGTCATAATTTTTCAGAAAATTTAAAAATTTAACAAATTATTTTCACTATTTTTTTTTTACATATTGTCACCAGTGCAGTACAGCGCGTCATCATATAACCAGGCATGGCGGTGACCAGGGACACTGACAGTATGAAAAAAGAAGATATATAATTTCTTTTTTACATTTTTTTTATTAATTTAAAATTTTTATTATATTTTTTTTCTTTTTTTAAGATTTGTTTTCATATTTCACTATGACCATAAGATAGTACAATGTTACGGTACAGTAACATTGTACTACTTTGGGGAAGTGGGATCAGTATTTTTTTTTTTAAACACAATTTGCTTATAGCAGAGAATTACTTTTGCATATAAGCAAGCATTTACCTGAATGACATCGTCATTCAGGTTTTTTTTTTTGTGCTCTTAGCTGTGATTTGGCCACAGCTAAACACATGACATGTGCATGTGATCGCTGTGACCATTCACAGCTAGACACTAGTATACAATGGATGGCATGAATGAAGCCATCCATTGTATAATTAAACTGTTCATGTGACCTGCTGTGATTGGTCACAGCAGGTCACATGGTAACCGGCAAAGGGGGCTAGTTACTCAGATCTTCATCGGCCGTGTCTGGTGTGAACATGGCAGGACAGATCGCGCAGCTGCATGGCTCTGCAAGCTAACGCAAACTGTGCATGGCATGGGAGTACGCCAAAATGGCATCCACACCGGAAATCTAATGTATTTTTCCGGCCGCCAAACGGCTGTTGGCCGGGCGGTCTATTGGTTAATGTTAAAAATGTAAGGTTCTGCACTTGGGGGCTATGAATTTTTTATGTATTATACAATGGAGATCATATTCCCCTTATGTATTATACATGGAATCATATGACCTGCTTATGTATTATACATGGAGATCAAGATATTTATCATAATATCCCCCCTTATGTATTATACATGGAGATTATAATATCCCCCTATATGATTATACATGGTGATCATATCGCCCTTATGTATTATACATGGTGATCATATCCCCCTTATGTATTATACATGGAGATCATATCCCCCTTATGTATTATACATTTGGAGATCATATCCCCCCCCTTATGTATTATACATGGAGATCATATCCCCCTTATGTATTATACATGGAGATCATATCCCCCCCTTATGTATTATACATGGAGATCATATCCCCCTTATGTATTATACTTGGAGATCATATCCCCCCTTATGTATTATACATGGAGATCATATCCCCCCCTTATGTATTATACATGGAGATTCATATCCCCCTTATGTGTATTATACATGGAGATCATATCCCCCCCCTTATGTATTATACATGGAGATCATATCCCCCCCTTATGTATTATACATGGAGATCATATCCCCCTTATGTATTGATTACATGGAGATCATATCCCCCCTTATGTATTATACATGGAGATGATATCCCCCTTATGTATTATACATGGAGATCATATCCCCCCCTTATGTATTATACATGGAGATCATATCCCCCCTTATGTATTATACATGGAGATCCATATCCCCCTTATGTATTATATACATGAGATCATATCCCCCCTTATGTATTATACATGGAGATCATATCCCCCCTTATGTATTATACATGGAGATCATATCCCCCCTTATGTATTATACATGGAGATCATACCCCCCTTATGTATTATACATGGAGATCATATCCCCCCCTTATGTATTTATACATGGAGATCATATCCCCCCTTATGTATTATACATGGAGATCATATCCCCCCCTTATGTATTATACATGGAGATCATATCCCCCCTTATGTATTATACATGGAGATCATATCCCCCTTATGTATTATACATGGAGATCATATCCCCCCCTTATGTATTATACATGGAGATCATATCCCCCTTATGTATTATACATGGAGATCATATCCCCCCCCCTTATGTATTATACATGGAGATCATATCCCCCCTTATGTATTATACATGGAGATCATATCCCCCTTATGTATTATACATGGAGATCATTATCCCCCCTTATGTATTATACATGGAGATCATATCCCCCCTTATGTATTATACATGGAGATCATATCCCCCCTTATGTATTATACATGGATCTATCCCCTTATGTATTATACATGGAGATCATTATCCCCCTTATGTATTATACATGGAGATCATATCCCCCCTTATGTATTATACATGAGGATCATATCCCCCCCCCTTATGTATTATACATGGAGATCATATCCCCTTATGTATTATACATGGAGATCATATCCCCCCTTATGTATTATACATGGAGATCATATCCCCCTTATGTATTATACATGGAGATCATACCCCCCTTATGTATTATACATGGAGATCATATCCCCCCTTATGTATTATACATGGAGATCATATCCCCCTTATGTATTATACATGGAGATCATATCCCCCTTATGTATTATACATGGAGATCATATCCCCCTTATGTATTATACATGGAGATCATATCCCCCTTATGTATTATACATGGAGATCATATCCCCCCTTATGTATTATACATGGAGATCATATCCCCCTTATGTTATTATACATGGAGATCATATCCCCCTTATGTATTTATACATGGAGATCATATCCCCCCTTATGTATTATACATGGAGATCATATCCCCCCTTATGTATTATACATGGAGATCATATCCCCCTTTATGTATTATACATGGAGATCATATCCCCCCTTATGTATTATACATGGAGATCATATCCCCCCTTATGTATTATACATGGAGATCATATCCCCCTTATGTATTATACATGGAGATCATATCCCCTTATGTATTATACATGGAGATCATATCCCCCCTTATGTATTATACATGGAGATCATATCCCCCTTATGTATTATACATGGAGATCATATATCCCCCTTATGTATTATACATGGAGATCATTATCCCCCTTATGTATTATACATGGAGATCATATCCCCCTTTATGTATTATTACATGGAGATCATATCCCCCCTTATTGTATTATACATGGAGATCATACCCCCCTTATGTATTATACATGGAGATCATATCCCCCCTTATGTATTATACATGGAGATCATATCCCCCTTATGTATTATACATGGAGAATCATATCCCCCTTATGTATTATACATGGAGATCATATCCCCCCCTTATGTATTATACATGGAGCATCATATCCCCCTTATGTATTATACATGGAGATCATATCCCCCCCCCCTTATGTATTATACATGGAGATCATATCCCCCTTATGTATTATACATGGAGATCATATCCCCCTTATGTATTATACATGGAGATCATATCCCCCCTTATGTATTATACATGGAGATCATATCCCCCCTTATGTATTATTACATGGAGATCATATCCCCCATGTATGTATTATATACATGGAGATCATATCCCCCTTATGTATATACATGGAGATCATATCCCCCCTTATGTATTATACATGGAGAATCATTCCCCCTTATGTTATTTACATGGAGATCATATCCCCCCTTATGTATTATACATGGAGATCATATCCCCCCTTATGTTATTATACATGGAGATCATATCCCCCTTATGTATTATACATGGAGATCATATCCCCCTTTATGTATTATACATGGAGATCATATCCCCCCTTATGTATTATACATGGTAATCATATCCCCCTTATGTATTGAATACATGGTGATCATTCCCCCCTTATTGTATTATACATGTAGATCATATCCCCCCTTATGTATTATACATGGAGATCATATCCCCCCTTTGTATTATACATGGAGAATCATACCCCCCTTCTCTCTGGAGTCTATACCTCTTTTATTACAAGAGAGGATTTTGCTCGCTTTAGAGACCCGCAGCTTAGCATTGGATGCCAGTTATTAAGCTTGTGATCTACCAGAACTCCCAGATCTTTCTCCACCATTGACCCCCCAGATCCTTCTCCACCATTGACCCCCCCAGATCTTTCTCCACCATTGACCCCCACAAGTTGTACCCCCTAGTATGTATGATGCATGCATATTCTTAGCCCCAAGTGCAAAACCTTACATGATATATCACCATTAAACCTCATTGGCCCATAGTCCCCCAATTACACAGAGCATTGAGGTCGGCTTGTAAAGTTGGAGACATCCTGTAAGGATGTTATTCCCGGCACAGCTTGGTGTCATCTTGCAAAGTACTGGAATGGGATTTATAATTCACACCCCATATTGTTTTATATTTTATAATTAAAAAAGTAAGGGTCCAAACACTTAACCTTGGGGTACCCCCACTAATAACCCTAGACAATTTAGAGTATGAATCATTAACCAATACTCTCTGAATACCCATCTTTTAGCCAGTTTTCTATAGGCCATTTACATTCGGATTTTTCCAGCCGTAGATTTTACCTTACACATTAGCTGTATGTGGAGTCAGTAGCGCATTTTCACTTGTCAACCACTTTTGTAAAATCCAAGTATACCACGTCCACCACCACCCCCTCTGTCTCAAGTATACCACATCCACCACACCC